CTCTCTCTCTCTCTCTCTCTCTCTCTCTCTCTCTCTCTCTCTCTCTCTCTCTCTCTCTCTCTCTCTCTCTCTCTCTCTCTCTCTCTCTTGCCTGCACGCATGTGCACGTGCTTGCTCGCTGATCTTCACACCAAGACGTGGTTTCCCCAAGGGGACAGACTCAACATGAACTCCCAGACTCCTTGGCAAGTGTCATCAGTTCAGATACTTGACAAAAACTATATAAATCAGACAAACGACATGAGGTAGGAGACAAACAAACAAACCACAAGGGGTTAATTACCTACCTTTTTTGTCAGACTATCACTGACTCGTCGCCGAAGGAGGATGAACCTTCGACAGTCTGTAGAATCCCCTTATTCATGCTTTGAGTCATAAACTACTATGGTATGCACCACACGGGCCCCCTTGGGCCCAGCAGTAGGTTAGGGGGTTTCTTGTTCTTTTGGGCCTCAGCATTGTTTTCTTGGTTGGCCTCAGTCCCTGTTTCAGTCGGGTTCAGTGACGTGCCCCTTAGTCCAAGTGTATCTGCCAGCGGAGTGGGACCGATACATGCCCCTTAGTCCAAGTGTATCTGCCAGCGGAGTGGGACCGATACATGCCCCTTAGTCCAAGTGTATCTGCCAGCAGAGTGGAACTGATACAGGCCCAGTGGCCGTTCCATAGGCCAAGTTCACTTCGGGTTTAGACACCAGACTTGCTTGCAGTTTCAGCACTTTCATGGGCGCCAGCTTTCAGGACTTTCTTGTCCTGTACTGGGTTTGGGGCGCTAGACTTGCCTACAGCACTTTCAGATTGGGCTCCAGACTAGCCTACAGTTCTTGGCCAAGCAGCTGCAATAAATCACAGTTTCCCAGTGGGGCTGTGCACTAAGTGTTGGCTTTGCAGTTTGTTTTCTTGGTTTGAGCCTTCCGTGACTTGATCCCATAACCTGTAACTCTTGTGTTTTGTTTGTGAGTGCTGTGCCCTATGGGACTTTATCCCTGAGTCTGTCACTAGTAGTCTCTGTTTGGTAGCCTTAGGCCATTCAACCTTTTCCTTTTGCCTTGTCATAGGTTTAGGTCCCCCATCTAGATGCAGATGAGTACTGGGTTGTTGCCTTTGGAGTCCCTGGTAGGTCTAGGCAGAGGGTAGAAATAGCCGGCAGGAAATTTGGTTTGGATCTTTTCACGTTTTCGTTGGCTGGGGGAAACTCTGCCCGTCCGTTGCTGGAGCGCTGCTGCTCTATTTTGGGCGAGGTCATCTTCTTC